CCCTTCTGCTTGGACACCCATAATTTTAATGAATCTAGTGTATCCTCTTTCGGATTTTTTGTTAATTTTTTATGAAAATTTCTAACAGTTGCGTCACTGATTGCTACACCCTTCTTATGCTTAATTACGAGCTCATGAATTTCCTCAGCAACCTTGGGGTACAGCCTTGCCATGGACCGTTTTTCAGTACGTTTTTTCTTGTTGAATAATGCATCAATTTCTTCCCACAGTTCGAAAATGGTACCAGTATAATTTTGAGGTGATTTGGATGTACCAGATCCCGCATTACTACTTCTTGCAACCCCATCTCGAACTTCACGAATATCGTAGCCGAGGTGTTTTACAATTTTAGATAAATCGGCAATACTTTTTTGTTGCTTCTTTATCGCTAAAGCCGTTTTTGCGTTGATTTGTTTTTCGACGTTTCCAGAATTGTATCTGGTTATGATGTATAGAAATACCATTTGAATCAGCATGAAGCTGGCAAGCAGTAAAAAATCGGGAGTAATCGAGAACATTTTGATAGGTTTGTGCGATTTGTAATTTGATCGCGTTTTAACGAAACTAACACGACTAAAATTTTGCAGTTATAGATTGTGATCCCTATTTGGGAATTATATGGACCAGTAGCTGGAAAATTATGTTTTTTGCTTGGAGATTATGTTTAATGTTGTTTCGAGATTATGTGTTAATGTTGTTTGGAATTACGTGCGTTTTCACGTTTTAAATGATTACTCTGTATCTTAGGCCAGACCCACTAAGACAACGCATGTTTTTATATGTTAGAACTCGACGTCGGCCATCCATGGCATTGGTTCTCTACATCTCATATTAAATCAAGGCGATAAATTATCAGCGATTACAATGTTTGATGTGCTAGCCACTGTGTGACTGCCTTCGGCAATGTATAGATCCACATTTATACCAGCATTCCATAACATTGGTTCTTTTACATTTATACTAATCGAATTAATAGCGGGCTAGTGTCACGCATAAATTACTGGTGATCGCTCACCTATAAAATCGTCTATGCAATTCCTCATATGTATCACACGATTTTGTTTGTTACTTAATTTAGATGCAATAGGGTCCTATTTAGGAATAAATGGCGCTTCCACGTTAAGTGTTGGAAACACCGCACTCCGTGCGTCTCGAATACACGTCACGGGCAATGAGAACGTGCAACGTAATATGTATAGGCAAAGCCTCATTGCGGTGTGTAATGACAAATCGAATCTTTTTACAAAAAATTGCTTCGCATGTACGTAGTGCATATAACTAAAATTGTATGACGAATCAGCGAAAAACATGTGATAACTTCGATCCGCATAATGGGCAGAACCCAGACTTAAAAGTCATGGAATGCACGTGGCAATAAACATGACCCTTTTAGGTCGCCCCTTTGGGCTTTATTATAACAAAATAAAAAACATTGCCTGTAGTAAGGCTGATATAAAAATAAATTTGCGAATATATCGCTGTTACATGATAAAGAAAATTTTAATTATTTGGTGGAGGTGGTATGGGAGATGCGACGACATGGTATAAATCTTCAGGAGGATTCCCATTAAAATAATCAGAGATTAAAGCTTGCTGTTGCATACGTCTTTCATCTGTACTTCCAGGATAATAAATTTGTCGAAGATCAAGAGGGATATTTTGGAATGGAGACGCCAACTCATTTTGAATCGCAATCTGGAGAGCATTAACTGTTGCGTTCCTAGGAATTGTAATTCTCAGCTCAACTCTATGCCGTGAAAAAACATTGAACGGACCACTAGGAATAATGAGACAATTGAGAGTAATATTACCCATTTTTGTAGTTCCTAAAAATAAAGACCTATACTGATTTAACTTTCATATATAAAGACCCTTGTTATGAATACAAGAACGCGGAGTCTTCGACTCATAATATAACACATACCTAAAAAAATTTGTGGGAATGTAAAGGACAAAGCTTCTCAACCCGCTTATTTATATGCTTCACGAAATCTGAAATTCGCTAGAGAAATCTTATCTTTATCAATGGAATCTACGACTGAGATCTTCAAACCTGTTATGATTCAGTCTCCACAATTAAGCCAATATGCAGAGAATTAAGTCATAGACACATGAATGAAACCCTTTTGAGGTGACGATCGCGTGAAGATCCAGAATTGCGGAGATTCCAAAGTCCTATAACTCACATTTTCTGATAACAACGCTGATAGGAATCAACGGGCTTTTTATCTTTATATCCTTTTTAAGTCTCATTTCGCATGTTCTTATCGCAAAGCATATGTGGTATAGAAATATTTTTCCAGGCTAAAATAAAACGAAAAAATACATATAACGATTATCTACGCTACATAAGAATGTTCTACGAACTTCTATATAGAAACTGGATTGCACGAAACATGTGAGATCTGACTTGTGATCAACTCTGTAACTTGAATACATATCACGGGCAATAGAAACGTGCTACATAATACATAAAAAATATGATTATCATGATCGCAAATGAAATTAACATTTTTAACTAAGCTTATTCGCATTTTGATAATATCGATCTTTGGCTTGTTTCATAAATGATCCATCAGGTCGATAAAGCCATTTAATTACCACATGCTAGATCACTTTAGCGGAATTAATTTGTTTTCTCCATAAACGATATACCTGCTGGATAATTAATGATGCACGATTCTTTTTATATAATGCTAGTTGAACTTTAAAATCTCTATATTTAGGGTCATTA